CTCATTAGATCATTTCTGATGGTTTGAATATATTTAGCTTTTAATAAATCTTATTTGTCAACTTTTTAGGTTATTACTAGTTCCACCTCAACTGGACTTTGACATTTGACCAAGTACTTTATCCTTATCGATGTTTTTAAAACATTGATTGTAACATGAATAATAGTTTCAGGACCAGTGGTTAAATTTTGACTTATGAAAGGTTCTTTGAGAATATTATTTAATCCCCATTCAATGTATTTGCTTTCGGCCGAAAGGGTAAATCCGTAAATGTCCCCAAGTGGAGCCCACAAGAATAAAAGTGTAATAATTGACCCCTTTCGTTAATTCAAATAATAATAATAAAAGAAAAAAGTAAATTTCACTATTGGTCTTTAACTTATTGCTCAAGAAATAAGTTAATCCTCAAATTTTTTTTTCCATTATATAGTTTCAAATCAACATCCATAGCATATACCATTCAAAATATGATTAAATTTGTGTAATCCTTTTGACAATGGATTATTCTCCTTGTACATCAAAATATTATTAAATTTAAGTTTGTAGGCACATGCTCGTGTTAGAAAACATATTCCGATTTTATAAATTTTGACTGATAAAAGTCACGTGAAATTAAAAAAAAAAAACTTGGAATGGTTAAGATCAAGCCCCTATTTAATTTTGCTATAAATCATATTTTCAGTACATCTAAAAAATATAGTTAAAAGTTAATAAAAATTGTAAATCATTTAAAGTATGATGTTAAAATTAATGATTGATTTTAACTTAAATTTTATAAACTTTTTTATTAAACCAAACAAGGTTGATTTTGTCAAAACTGGAACCAACCGAATTGGTCCGACTATATATATATATATTTTAAAAAATGGGTTTGTCACGCCTCGCTACCGATACTCTAATTGAAGACCATGTCATAGTCTACGTGGAGATGAGAGTTTTAAGTCTGACTAAATCAATAAAGACCCAATTGTCAAAATAAAGAAATTAAAGAAGAAGTTCATCTCCATATTCCGAGGCTCTTATGTGGCCAAAGTCCTATCTCTATCTGAAGCTCTCTTTGGCCAAAGCACCATTTGTCTTTCAAGTGATCCGTGGACAATCTTTCGAAATGATTGATATAATGTTTAATTGATAAATGTCAGGATTGTCAACCTAGAATGTAGGGCAGTTGACTTGTTATCAATATATTAATTGTATAGCAGACGGAGTGATGGGAGACTCCGATCTTGGAGATGGGGTCACGTGGTCTTAATCTAACGATTACCACGTGGGTCAGAAATCAATATATAAGCAACTCTTATACTTCATTAAGGAATAATGCAACTCTTTACACTCAAAAAAATATACAGTGTTCTCTCTTTCTTATAACCTATCTATTTACACGAGTTCATTTTGGTAGAGTTGTTTGTAATTGTTTATTTATGTACAATTATCTTTGTTCATATTATTGGTGCTCGAACATTTTTATTTTGCGTTGTAAAGCATTTTCCACATTCATAAGCGTAATCCTTTCCCCGTCTGGATCTCCGATCAAAATGTATCGAAATTTGCTTGCATGGACGTGAATATGTCCGACATTTGTTGTCCACATAACGAAAAAATGGGGTCAACAAGTTCCTTTATTTTTATTCTTTAAATATCTTTACAGTTAGCTCAACCATGATTCGAATTTAATTATCTGACTCTTGATCCTTTATTATTTCTTGGTCGATGCTCGAATTGGTTTATATTGAAATGTTGAGAATGATGAGGACTAACTTACTACTTGAATAGTGATTTAGGGACCAAAAGTTAATTTTTTTCCTCATAAAATACAAAACAAGAATCTTCTTCTCCAATCACAATCCATTGGACTCCGTTTTAGAATCTCCGCCTATAAAAACTCATTTCTTCATGTAAATTCCATTTTCTGTGCTATTTTAATCATACCAAAGCGTAATAAAGTTTCCTTACCCTCCTCAGATTACCTCTAGAAAACCCAGCAGGTGGATCAAATTTTTTTGAGGTAAAATTTCAATTTTCAGACTCTTTCGAGTTTCGATCCATATCTGTATGTTTTTGTGGAGTGTTTTTGATGGGTTGGGTTTTTTCTTTCATAAATTTTTTTTGGTGTTAAAAAAATCTTAATGCTTTTGAGGTGGATCTGGATTTTTTGTGGTGAATAATAGGAACCGCAGATGGCTTCAAAGCGGATCTTGAAGGAGCTCAAGGATCTTCAGAAGGATCCTCCTACCTCTTGTAGCGCTGGTATAGTACCAACATTTCATGAACCCAAAAAAAAAAAAAAATTGGAAAGAAGAAAAGGAAATTTTCTTTTTTCTTAATTTTTTTTAAAGAAGAAAGTTTTCTATTTGCTTATGATTGTTCTTGATTTCGATATTCAGCTTGTATTTGGTTGATTTTCTTAAAGCAGATGTGGACTATTTAGTGTGAGTTTTGTTAGAGTAGAGCTTTATTATAATGAGATAGTTGTTTTTTTGTTGCAATAGGTGAAATACTTTATTCCTCGTTCTAGATGATTTTGATCATCCATGATTTATTTTACAATTGGAGTTTTCAATTTTGAAAAGCAATCACAGGGAGTAGAACATCAGAAAGTGAGGTTTTAAAAATTAATCCCAACTCAGTTTTATTATTACTACTTTATCTGGATCTGGTCATTTGTTGATAAATAGTTGAAATGTGATTGAAAGATCACTTTTCTAGATAATGTTCAAAAGCTTTATAGACCTTAGGATTTTGAGTCTTGAGATTTGTGGAACTAATCCTGCCTTTATATGTGCAACCCGGAAAATAGGCCACCTGCTGAGCCACATGGCCATGTTTCGATAAATGTTTACACAACCAAAGTGTTCCGTTGTTTTGTACTTTCATTTTTCATACTTAAAGTTGGTAAATATTCTTATTGAGAATTGATGATCCATTGCAGTTTTACCCCCTCTTGGTTATGTATTGTGCTAGTTGTGTGCGAATTCCTTATAATTTGGAACTTTATAGTTTATTTCTTTGAACTTTTTCATGAGGATGCACACCCTCAAACTTAGGGATTTTGTGATGCAGGTGCTCTAGATTCTAATTTTCTTTTACTCATTTGCTCTCTCAATTTGTGCATATTTCAGGTCCTGTTGCTGAGGACATGTTTCATTGGCAAGCCACAATCATGGGTCCTCCAGATAGTCCATATACTGGTGGGGTTTTCCTAGTCACTATCCATTTCCCTCCAGATTACCCTTTCAAGCCACCTAAGGTGTTTCAATGCTCTAGTTGTCCTGCACATTTGGATTTTTTGCCTTTTCTTTTTGGTAATAGACAACACCAATATGGGTTTCTTATACATTCATCATCATGAGTTTTGCAGGTTGCTTTTAGGACAAAAGTTTTCCACCCGAATATTAATAGCAATGGAAGCATATGCCTTGACATATTGAAAGAGCAATGGAGCCCTGCCCTAACTATTTCCAAGGTTCGTATTCCCTTCGGCAAATAGCCTATTTCTTGAATCAAACCTGCTAGTTGAGAAATATTACAAGGAAAAATGGTGTGATGCTAGTTGTGAAAGTTATGGCACAATCACCCTGGAAATTTAACTAATTGTTTATGTTCTAATTGTACCCTCAACATTTATGAAAATGTAATCACTGAATAGATCATTGCTTAATTGCGTTCCTCAAGACTTTCCAATTACAAATGCAAGGAAGTTGAAATATTTTATGATTCCCAAATTTAGGTGTTGCTTTCTATTTGTTCGTTGTTGACGGACCCAAATCCGGATGATCCTTTGGTGCCTGAGATTGCTCACATGTACAAGACGGACAGGAACAAGTATGAGACCACTGCAAGGAGCTGGACACAGAAGTATGCCATGGGCTAACTGTGTTTGGTATGTAAGAGGGGAGGAGGACCTTTAGCTTTCAAAATGCTTGTCTTTAAATTTTCTACATGAATTAGTTTAATCTGTCTTTCATGTCCTACATCGGATTAACTAGAGGTCCAATATGCACCATCAAGAGAAGGAAAGATACACTTCGTTTTTGAGATGCTTGTGTATGTATAGTTAATCTTTGAAACGTTCCCCGAACAATTGATATTTCATATTTATATTTCTTAGTACTTCCGTGGACGCTGCAGTTAAAGTATGTAATTCTGCTTTTGCTGGGAAGAAACAATATTATGGGTGGGATTTCGTAAAGCATCCCAATCTGCAGTGTTCTTTCTGGTGGAATTATGTGTTTAAAATGCTGCCCTGCTATTTTTAGGATGATCTCTGTATAAATAGTTGATTGTGAAGCGCGCGAGAATTCATTTTCCCTGGTTTGCTTCGAGGATTGTGCAGCTTTTGAGAAAAACAAAGACTTCGCACCTTGTATAGTTTTCTTTACACCTTTGTTGACAGAAGTTGAGGTGACGTGCATTTTGGCCCTTGATTTAAATTTCATTTGTTCAAATCAAGGGACAAAATGATGCCACCTCATCATCTATCCACAAAGGTGTAAAGTAGTTTTTATACAAGTAGCTTAATTGGAAAGACAATCCCTTTTTGTGCTACCAATTGAATTCTTCATTTTTCATTCATACTGTAAACATGCTCTTACAGTTTTGCCACCACTGAGTTAACGTAGGCATCTCCTTCCATGTCCTGACTCCTGAGGATCCTTGTAGCCAAGCTGAACCAAACACCTATAAACCCTTCAAGTCCTAATTTCCCGAATTTGCTCCTTTTTTCCAGTAGCACAGTTTTGATTCGTAGAGTTCTAACAGTGACAACACAATAGTTTCGCAAACAGTGTGTATTCTGAATGAAATGTGGGACAACGGCTGATTCAGAAATTTATTTCGATGAGGCTGAAATATAGGGTAATTATTTATACGGGAACAATACATAAATCAGGTTTTTAGGTATCATCATTTCAAATTTAAGGTTAGAGGTTTTAAATTTCAAAAATTAGGTTATCATTAAAATTTATTTGTGAATTAA